ACAGCCTTTAGAAGTTTATTTATTTATTTTTGGCATAGCTACAGAATACAAACTGTGAAAATGCTTAAAGTTAACATGCATTATAATAGGAGTAAATTTGTATTCCTATGACAGCCACCCACGGCTTTTGCGAAATAAATAAAATACTTACAAATTAACAGACTATTAAACATAATAAAAAAAAAATTGCACTTAAAAACAATAGCAAAAAATCATATTACACGTACATAAAAACAATAAGATTCTTAAATATCCAACATATTCAGCTTCTCCTTACAAATATTTAAATAAGTATAGCGACTATGGGAGAATAAGTCCAAATCTTTAGAAAAGTTGTTATGAGCTCTAAACATGCGTAAAATAGTTAAATTAATATAGATACCTTGTTACGCGTGGTAGATAGAGACTACCAGGTTGCAAACCCGGGAACCAGCAGTTTAGGAAACTTATTCTCCTAAATTGGTTTTGGTCTGTGTGTCCTGCGTAGCGCCTCTAGGATTTATTTCGGTATTTTTGTGCTCGCGGGAATTCTCTAACTTAAGTTTGGGTAATTCGTGGAAATGTTTTAATTTGGGATTTACCACTCCCTTGACGTAACTATGTCTAGATCAGATAGGAGACGTCCTTGAAATAGGCCAGATCAAAAGTACCAAGAACAAACGGGTATATATGAAGAGACTCCAGAGAGTAGAGAAGGCGAAAAAGGTTTGTCAGGAGCAGGGAAAGAGTCATCGTCGTTTCCTACCTACTATGTGGGTCATCTTTACGTTAGTTTTGATTATAGTGACCCTCTCTACCGACCCTTAAAGTATACGAGAAGGGCACTATAGCCTGTGCGTGCACAGGAACCTTCTTAGTTCAGATTCTGACTCTAGATCAGCCAGTGTACAGGGTTGTCACAGAACGTTGTCACTGACTTCATCCGGTTCTCAAGAGGCTAGCGCCTTGGGTGAGCCGCCCTTACACGTACACTATCCTCCCTACTTTCCAGATAGGTACTGGAACTGTAGGCACGATCACTTCCCGACGCCGATAAAACCGTGTGGGTGACAGTCGGATGGGGTATATATATTTAACAGCAGTAGAGCTCCTCGTGAAAGAGTCGGTCAGTCCAGGGAAGTATTGCCTTACCTATTTCTGCCGGCAGGTAGTAATGGAGCATTACTGCGTTTTGCTTTTGAAGGGTATTATAGGTGCTCGTGAAATTACAGGCACAAGGGACTTGTCAACTTATGTTTCAGGGTGACGGGCGCAGTATTAGTACCCCTCAGATCTTTGTGATTTAAAGCTCTAAACGGCACTGCAACTGTTATGGACAGGCGTGTCGCTCACCACTAGGCGCACTACTTGTTCGCTCCGTCACTTAGTCTCAGAAAAAAATATACGAGACACTAGTTTAATTACTGTTGGTTAATACAAATTTCGTAAACCGAGGAAACCCTCTATCGGATGTACGAGTTTTGCTTAATTGTGCGCTTAATAGCAAACTTGATAATTAAAAACAAATTATGAGACCTCCAGCTGGTTTTAATAGCATTTAACAGTGCGAAGTTTAATTAAATCGGCCCGCAGACTTGGCGGAGACGACGATCTGAGAGAATTAATGGCTTCAATCGTCTTCTGTTATTGTAAACACTTGCAGTTTAGTTGTTAAATGTTTAAATAAAACCTTATTCGATTGGGAATGCTCTTTTGATTTCGTCAAATATGGAAGATCTGCCAACTTTAACACATTAGACTGATACTATAATGTTTTAGTTAGCAGTGGGTTTATAAATTTTATGACGTTTTGGACACATATCAACCCGTTCGTGTATGCTATAAACCTAAGATATTCCAGTGAAAACTTCGATGGCGTTCTAGAATAGTGGCCTATTTCGAAAGCATTTATTTAATCAGAAAGATGGTAAACTGAGATGTGTCTGCCGCGCAAATTTGACATATCGTAAACCATCTTAAGGTTATCATGTGATTATTTTAAACAATGAAAAGTTCAGTATCCCATTCACAATAAAATTTAGCGTTTCCTGAACAAACTTCAGAAATTAGTCGAAACAGGAAGTATTTTGGTTTGTTAAGGCACTATTCCTGAAAAGCAGCGATCTGTGTTAAAATGCCTTCCTTGTTTTACTCATACGATTATGGCATCTTTATACAGAAACCTGTCTTGCTTGGACCGCGTGCTCAGAATAAATGAATATCTACATTACATTGCGTGTCTGATATCCGACGGTTCCAATCCCTAGATGGCGTGTACCTACCTATGACTTAAATTTCCAAGGTACCTGTATTTGCGAATGTTTAATACCTGTAAGTTAAGGAAAATATCGTGATGAAACTGTAAGTCGAGGAAGGTTCCCAACCTTTGGAGAACTTATGAAGTCCTCAAACCGCGCCGTGGTCTACATTCAGGGCCCCAATTCTGCTAATTTTGTGGACACCACTGGTCATTGTACTTTAGTGATGTTCATGTAAAAAAATCGATATTTTTTCCGATGTGATATACCGAGCGAAGACAAAGGCAAGGCATATAGGCTGTCTATACGTGGGTATTGGCCTTCTCTCGCCTAGGTTCGGCCTACAAGTATTGCGGGCTTTAACTTCTAGCACAATACCAAACGTTACAAATTTTTGCCATTCATATTCTATGTACACACAACTGAGGTAATATAAAATTAGCAGACTTTTCAAATTCAAATTCAAATTCAAAATAATCTTTATTTCATAGGTAAGCATTATTACACTTGAAATCGTCACAATGGTTAAACTCTACCGCTCATTCGTAAGGCAGATTCCCCTGAGAAGAATGAGCAAAAAACTCTAGGGGTTGCTCTTTGTAAATAATATTTACAATATTTTTTTATTTGAAACATCAGATTGAGACTACCTCCATGAGCTAAACGGGTTACTACCACGGATTTTTGTCATCCAAGTACGCAGAAGTTGTATAATAACCTTTAGTATAAAGTTTTTGTTTCACTATAGTTTTAAACCTCGTGAAAGGCAAATTTTGTATATCAACCGGAATCTTGTTATAGAAGCGTATACATTGCCCCTTAAATGATTGTTTGACTTTGTGAAGACGACTATCAAGAAAAGCTAGTTTATTTTTATTCCTCGTATTAATGTTATGTCTGTCACTATTTTTCATAAAGAAATTACTATTCCTTTTAACATAAATTATATTTTCATAAATGTATTGTGAGGCTAGTGTAAGAATGTTAATTTCCTTAAACTTATCTCTCAAAGATACTATGGGGCCCAGATTGTAAATTGCCCTAACTGCACGTTTCTGCAGGACAAAGATTCTATTGATATCGGCGGCATTACCCCAAAGCAAAATGCTTAGTAACCAAGTACCCGCAGAGAGTGTCTTGCGACTAGTTTTAAATAGGTTCTGTATCGCATTTGGTAAAAAAACAAAAACAAACCTATATAAAAATAAAAAATAAAAAAAATAAAATAAAATAGCCTCTAGAGACTATTCCACTACACTGTGAATGAAAATCTTTCTGTGATGAACAGAGTACAGCAACGTCATCTTGAAAATGATTAAGTATTACTACTCGCATAATGGAGGGACCTCTAACGAGGCACCTTATTAATTTTAATAGGTCTAAGTTACAGACACTGTACTAACATAGTTGATAAGTCTACTACTACTATAGTTTAATTAAATTCTACGTAGAATAACAAATAGAAACATGATTTTTAGGCTGCTATCGATTGACTGCGTGTTTGCAATTAGTGCGTGAAGTCATAATCAAGTTCATGCAGTCGAGATCGACTGCATGCAGTTAATGCGTGAAATCGTTATCAAATTCATGCAGTCGAGGTTTCGGCGAATTTTTACACGAAATTTGAATGGATTAGTGCGCGTGTCCACGCTAAGAAAAGTCACCTGATCTATGCTAGAATTCGTGTCGTTTCTACACGTGAACTGTATACACTGCCTCGGTGCCGGACAAAAAAAACATCTTGTCTGCCCTCGACACGACGCGCTCTGCCGCTATTGTATGGCTCGTGGTGAAATGCATTGTCAGTCAACGAACGTAAAACGAAACGAAGACTCGTAATGCGCTGACACATTTTACCCTACACATGTCTGTCCGAAAGCATTCGTATCGTGTACATATTCATCATTTTTTCGTCTGCAACAGACACGACATGTTTTCGTGGCTAGATCCGACAAAGTTCTTGTCGTGTACAAGACCATTCTCATCTCTTCTGTAGCAGACACGTTGAGTTCCTTAGCGTGTACACGCGCCCTTATTGATAATGCCAATCTTGAAGTCATATTTGTGGTGATTTTTGTTCAATAGAAATTTGCAAAAATGACCAGCAATTAATTATTTATAAAACTGTGTCATCCTTAACGATTTTTTCATTTGACGGGAGAGATTGCAAACATTCTCGAGTTCGAGTATTAAGTTCATAATCGGAAATTGATGATAGATAGGATATGTAGTAAATTCATGTAAAATATTACAATTTTGTGTCTTTTGATCTACCATTAGCAGTAAATATTAACCATCTAGCAGTAACTATTAATGGACTTAAACCTTACTTACTTTATTCATAATCATAAATTATACCTATCAATAGGTACAGTCGGTGCCCTCACTTCAGTAGCCACTATTTTGTACTAAGAGCTATACAAATAGTGGATAGCTAAGCGAGGGCACCGACTGTACTTAGTAGTTTATAATAATTGGCTTGGTAAGTACACATATCTACATAACTGACGTAACCCAACTATCTACTTATCCGTTTAAATTCCAACCTCACGAGCAGGATATGGGCAGAGTTGGACTAAATAATGAGCATTGACAAAAAAAATGTTCTTTTCACCTGCTGTCATTGGCAACGTTTTGTTAGTAAACATTCATTCTATATCGAATTTGGTTAGAGTACATATAAATTCTTGTTGTCAATGTAACGTAATTGAATGCATGTAATAATATAAAATGTCTAAATAGTTCCTTTGACTTGTCCAACAGCGACTGAGATCCGTTGCCAGGAGATGTCGAAGGGTGGGTTGGCGTACGAGGTGATCCTTGCAGAGCCGGTGGGCGTGCCCGCGCCTGTACCGCGTCGTGCCGACTCGCCCGATAAGACGCCTTCCGTCGAGGAGATCCAGGAGAAGCTCAAGGCCGCCGAGGAGCGACGGCGGGTGAGTTATATCGCGTCTTGGAGATTGGCGAGACTCTGGTGATTTGTTCTGTACACCATTTCCCGCTACAAGCATAGTATAATAAGGCAAGTCTAGTAACTCTACTAATTCCATACAAACGTAGCAGCGCACAGTGGTACATTGGCGGAAAAAAGTATTTTTTATGAACATTTATCTAAACACATTTTACATTTGTATACATACAACACTATACACTCCATAGATACAAAAACTATAAAAACAAATTGCCAGTAGTTGTACATTACGAAAATACAAGACTAAGCATATCCGATACAGACATAACCATTTTTGCGCAAAACTTCTGTTTTTCTGTTTAAAATTAAAATTAAATTAAATAGAATTTGCGATATTTGTGTTTTATTTTATAATGCACAGAAATGTAATCTTGTCGGTACGTATAATAGTGAAACGATTTTGTCTTTTTAATATTTCTCATTTACGTTTTAAGGAATGCCTAATATAAGACCAATATTTTATAAATTTAAAGCTATATATTTTTATCGCCGTCGACCGCTGTTTACTTATATCACTTAATCGATTTATTAGTCTGTCTTGATCAGTTTTTATAAATTTTAGCTACCACCAACTGCCATCTTGGATGTGAGAACTCAAACTCAAAACCAACGATTAGAATATAATCTAATTTTGAAATAATTATTTTAAATGAAATTTCTCATTTGTAATAAAAATTATTAATACCGAAATTGTTAATTACAGCAGCAGCAGTGCTGCTTGTATGTATGCATGGTCGCCGCGCGACGTGTTCGGACTCACACATTCGCATAGACGCATAATTTCGCAGTGCACTCGCGTGGCATAGCGCGGGTCGTCACACGCACCATTAATTATAGAGTTAAAACGATCACTGGGTGTTTAAAAAATGTCATCAAACAGTAGATAGACATTTATTGTTGTGTTTGTGGTAGTTTGAATTTATCAACATTTCATTTCTATTTCATAATCATGCTCCATAATCAAGGTCCGCTATACTGGTACAAAAATATCAATACGAACGTATTTACTGCTTTTAACAAAGGTTCTTTTAAAAAAAACACGAGATTACAGTGATTAACACCTTAATTTATCAAATTATGTTTACAACCTGTAGGAACAACTACAATAGTAATGCTCTACCATGGTTCTACCCTACGCTCCGAACTGTGTTACGTCACTTGCTCTTATTATGGTGAAATTGCAGGTACATGAGACTTATCAACTTATGTCCCAGAGTGACGAGCGCATTAGCAGTGCCCCTCTGATCTTTGCGATTTAAAGCTCTGAGTGGCACTGCAGTTGTCATGGACAGGCGTGTAGCTTACCATACATCCCGTCACTAATTCGGAATTCAGTGTAATTCCATACTTATTACAAATTTCGATGTAAAAAATCTTACACGACAAAAAGAGGCAATTTCACACAATACCTACCTTGCAATCCTGTGAATTCTCACTACTAAGGATGCACATTACGATTCGTTTTTATGGAAATTGATTCAATTACGTATGATTTAACGATTTTTTTGTATCGATTTATTTCAATGCGATTTTCAAGCGAATCGATTCAATGGACAGGCAAATCGAACGGTATAGATCAGGAAGCAATAAACATTTTGTAATAATAATAATTAAATTTGAACAAAACTCGATTTACAACTAATATGTAGTTATAAATAGTTTTTGCTCGAATTAAACCCAGCGTTATTAAAACGCCGTGTTAAAACCCGGGCGCTTGCTCATCTCTGGTACTGTGATGTTAAAATAGCACTCCAATCTGCATATGCAGCAGTATAAGTGAATCTTGCGCATTGTAACTTACAGAGCTTGGAGCAGAGCAAGATGGCCGTGATCGCTCAAAAGATGGCCAAGATCGAGGAGGCGTCGCGCATCCGTAGCGAGCAGACTAACAACTTCATCACGGCCACCAAGGAAGCGTTGGACGCCAAGATGGAGACGCACGAAGAGAAACGCGAGGCCTATATCAACGAGCTGCGGGCCAGGCTTAAGGACCATCTTGAGGGTGTTGAAAAGACCAGGTAAACGTTAATGATTTAGATTTCAAGACTTTTGTGGTTATTCAAATATTCACTAAATTATTATCACTATATACTTGCTCTGGAATCATATTGTTAAAACGTATATAGTTCTCCATAAAAGGGTCGTTTGCCATGGTTAAACGAAATCGTGGTATCATGAGTTTGGACTTGGCTCTAAGGTTAATACTTTTTTACGGTTTTGTATTCCTGATATTTAAAAAAATAGTAGGCCGGACAAAAAACCTGACATTTCTATGCAAGAAAGTCCGAACTTACAAGTAACAAAATAAAGTCGAAATCCGTCTGTCTCCCACGGCAGCAGAGATGGACACAGCACAGCAACAAAAATTTTGTCGTAAATCGAGTTTTATTGTATAATTATATAGAAAAACCCTGGTATTTTTCTTTTTATTCTGAAAATTTTTATCCCAAGTATGTGCGAGCACATGCTTGTTAATATAGTTTGTTTATTATGCCTTTAAATTTGTATCTTTTTAACGTTTTGTTTTTGTTCTTTAGATGTCTTATAAAATTGCTAAATAAAAATACGTTCCTTAAAATCCTAAAGGATTGTCAATTTCTCCCTCTACTCAAAATCACCTGGCAAAGGGTCTCGCTACTGGAATTTTTCTAATGCAACCACGCAATTGATTGACATCGTGTAGATTGACACTGGAGCAGCAAACGGCGGAGGTGTACAAGGCGATCGAGGACAAGATGACCACCGCCGCCGACAAGCGCGACGAAAACCTCAAGAAGATGATCGAGCGTCTTCGCGAACATGTACGTTCTCTATTCATATTAGACAATAATTTATGTCACAATGGTGAAACATGTGGATGGAATGCCGCTTTTAAATGGTGCTTCTACTGTCTGTTGCTAAGGTGTTTTGATGTCTATTGTTGTTATAAAACAAAGTCGGTATAAAATACGTAGAAAATAAGGAGCGAATGGGAGATTGTTGAACGATCAAACGTAACAGCCAATGTTTTGAATAAATTCAATAAAAATGTATTAAATTTATGCGAAGAACCGATTCGAAAATTATACATTGTCTATAGTTTTAAAACTTTCAGTATTAATGAGCTATATATGGTAGGTAGATAAATTAAAAAAAAAACGATCACAAGAGTTTGTGGAATATTCTATTTTTTTATTTATTTAAACTTTATTGCACACAAAGTACAAATGGCAGACTTAATGCCATTATGCATTCTCTACCAGTCAACCAGAGAGCTAGGTTCAGAATAAATTACAAGAGTGCATAACATGACAAATAAAAACAAATAAATCAAAATTTATAAATAACTATTTGTCAAATTTTATTGAAATCGTTTAACGAAAAGTGGATGAAATCCAATAAAGCGGATTCATCCCCTAATTTGCCACCCTTAGAGTTGGAATATATTCTTCAAATTTGAATGGCACCACTACTGAGATATCTCCTTTCCAACAAAAAAGAATCATCGAAATCGGTTCAAAAAACGTTGATGTTATAGCGTAGTAACAGTAGGGCTCCTTGTAAAAGAGGTCGTCGACTTACTTATTTCTGCTGCCAAGCAGTAATCTGAGCATTGCTACGTTCCGGTTTCAAAGGTTTAAAAAAATACACAAAAAATTACAGTCGAGGAGGTTCTCAACCTCCTCCTTTTTTTGAAGTCGGTTAAAAAAATGTTTCGTACTACTACACTCAGGCGCCATCAACGAACTTTCCATTTGTCCTTTTGTGTTTTGTCTCTGTCACGGCTTGATGTGCAAAAAGGGTTATTCAATTAGGAGGAGCAGATCCGCAAAGTGCGCACGGGCAACCAGGAGCGCTTCCAGCAACTGGAGAGCACCATCCAGGACAAACTGCAGCAGGCAGCCGAGCGCCGGATGCAGCTCGAACAAGAGCAGAAAGAGAAGCTGCGCAACCATGTAAGTTATGCTTGTCAGTGTGCTGATACAGTTGCCAGAAAAATAAATTAATGCTTCTTTATTTTCTACTTCATTCGAAATTTTGCAATACGACTATTGAGGACAATTAAAACTTAACAATACAATGCAAATACAAAAAGAATAAGGCTCAATTTATTTATTTTAATTTACATCACCAGCATAGAATCACCAACACCAATGTACAAACAACAATGTGACAAATATGTCAAAACTACCATGTAACAAATTTTCAGAAAGGTTCTGTTTCTGTTGTGACAGTATTGTTTTTTTTTTTCGTGTGTAGCAAAAAGTATGAAGAAAGCAGTAGCTATACCCCTAAAGCTTTGCTTTACTTTATGTATATAATTCAATTGGTCAAATATGTGACCATAAAGTTAATTATGCTGTTACATAAATTCGCTTAAAAATAAAATGAAATAAAAAATAAATAAATCATTTATTGTCTCAGAATAACATTTTTTTAAAACTCCGCAGTGTAAATTGAGCCTAGGATCATTGTTTGTGACTGTTATAGTCGCCTCAGTTCCGAATCCGAGAAATGACGGTCCGAAACAATGCACGTGCCAATAAGCCTTGATTACTATCAGAACCGATGTCGCCAAAACTCACACATTCTTAATTTGAAACACAACGAAATCTTGATAATGATTGGTCGTAGAATCAAATTTTAAAAAGAAATAACAAATTCTGGATTTTTAATATAATTTAAACGTTACCCTACTGGCATATCGTTGATAGTTCAATACCATCAATACCTATTATTGCAAGTTACGGCGTTTTGATATTAAATTGAAATTTCAATCAATGTCCTGCCATCTAGCGGTTAATTGCTGAACCACGACGAATTGGAGTTATTAATTTAGTTCCCCAAAATAATCGACCATATTGCAGGGGTATAAGCTTTTCGTTTCTTGTAACAAAAAAATTATTTCGATAAACAGAAAATTTATTAATATTTTTGGTGCGGCAATCATTTTTGTACTCCAAAACAGCACAATAATTCATTTTTCTACGGTTTTATAGAATTTACGCGAAAGAATTGACACGACCATACCGTACAAAGCGAAAACGGCGGACTGAGCTCACATAGGTCCTAAGGTATGATTCAAAGCACTAGAAATCATACTCAAGTCCCTGCCATTAGGGTCGTATTTCCAGTGCTTGTGTTGCCAGTGCAATCCTGACTTGAGCATTGAATAGAGGTCTAGAATACGACCCTTAGAGACCTATCGTTGGCACGCGTGTGAGGCTAACTAACCACTTCTACGGTATTTTCTGTTCTGTGGTCCGAAACGTCACAGGGATCATTTTATCTCCAGGTGTACAAAGAGATATTTTCTCGGATTCACAAGTGACATCCTATTGGGTCCGGGTTTTGTAGATTTGTATAGTCTCGGGTTCGGAACGAATACGCACAGGATGCAGTGCGAAAACGCTCTCATAGTGGTATTTACATAACTATCTGTTTACATAATCTTGCGAAAGTACACATTTTTAGTTTCTTTCTCATGAATTTGTACAATTTTTGTCGAAATGTGCTATTAATTTGTAATATAATTTTCCTCTTTTTGTCTTTTAAATAAAGAAAAACTCGAAAATTTATACATTTTCTTTGTGGTACGCAAATTTCAACTTTTGACTGTCCTGAGAACAGACGCAATATTTTGCAGGGAAATAGAGGTTTTTCGTGTTTTTATGATAGAACCAAACAGAAAATGATGTTGATAGCATTGAAACACAAAATCGTATTACATGGTATTACTGAAAGTTGGAAATATACACCCTGCGCCCTTTTCTACGCCTATTGACTAATACGTTAAATCATTCGCTTTTTCTACTCTTGTTTTGTAGTCACTCGTGTGACATGTGACGTCTAAACGTTCAACATATTATCAGTCATTCATTTCATTCAGAGAATTAAGTTTTCATTCAAACGTAGCAATATCCTTTATTTTTTTCCATCCTCTAAGAGCAATATGCACAATTGATGCCTGTCACGGTGGCACTATACCTTTCACATATCATTGATTTATGTGAAGTCTTTCTCATGACACGGCTTTCGCTTTATTATTATTATTATCTATTTTCACCTAAAGACTGATAAACAGCGGGTGCGGGTCGGGCGCGAGTCCGGTCAGGACGGACGCACACGCCCGCAATCGATATGTTGTCGTCCACATAAATACACAGAATTAGACCCGCCCCGACCCGACTCGCGCCCGACCCGCACCCGCTCCCTGTGTATTTCACGCTTAAAAGATGAATTTTGAATTTATGAACGGGAGAGATGTATTTCCTAACAAAGGCACACTCGGCCAGGGTCCCCTGACCCGAAACCCTTCTCGGGTACAAGAACCGGCGAGCAATACGTGCTGCATTGAACAGCATCTTTATTGCATTTCGTCGATCATCGAATCCAATCCCCTTAAGTTGTTAGCAAATCTCACTTCAATTATCATTTATTTATTTAATAAGCTTGATACTTAAGGTTTAATTTCTACTCTATTCGCTTACTATAAGGTCCAAAGTCGCAAAGTGTCAAGACTGTACAATTTTTATAAACCTATAAACATTCCCACAAAACTGTAATACGGTTTGACTGCAGGATTAAATTCCACCCTCCAAAGTAAGAGACGAAATAATTCGAGATACGAAATAAAACTAGTCTCGCCCTTCTACGACCCGCGAGTTTTACGGTGTCATCTATCTATTTGAAAAACAAACGATGTTAATAAAATTGCTTGAAACGCCCGTTAGACGGCGAACCTGGATTGAATTTTTCTACCGACGCCCTTTAAAGCTCAAACAGCCAATATGAGACAGAATCTTCAAATAGGATGGCCAATAGAATTTCCCAAACAATTTTTTCGTAATACAATACTCCGGGCAGAAAGGGCGTAAATGCGAATTTTTCTCAAAACAAAAGTTATTGAACCAAATAGATGAAATTTTCATGCTCTTTCAATCTGTCAAAGTTTCGTTATTTGCCAATAGAAATGTTTTATTTACGTAAACGTAGATATAAAAAAAACCGACCTCAAAAGTCATTCATCCCCTAGTTTGCCACCCGTCTGAGGTATTCTCTTTCCGACAAAGAAATACACGCGGTCGTATTCAGAACCTCCTACTTTTTTTTGAAGTCGGTCAAACAATAAATAAGAACATATGAACACGGCGTATTCCAAACGCGCCACAGACGCGCAGTCGTCGCGCGTATGTATCGCGCATTTTGATGAGCGATAGTTTTAATTTTGTTTGTTAATTTTTGAAATGAAGCAACTACATGAAATTCTAAGTGTAAATTCCAGTGGAGTATATAAGCTTCTTGCTTGCAACGCGATATTTGCGCGCGTTTTAATCGATTCACTACAGGGCGGCGCGTATAAGATACGCCATGTGCCTAGGCTCTAAAATATCAACCGAAACTCGGCAGTCTTGCACAGTTTGTAGTTTGGCTTTAATGCCTTTCCTGGGCGTTGTTTTGCGGAAATACATATTAATAAAAAATGGACGTAAATAGCCTTGCTACTTCTCAAACCCAATGGATGACAAACCGTACAAAATAGTTGCGCTTGTGCTGAATATTCCGCATGAAATAAATAACAAATATGCAACTAGAATTACTAAAACGACACGTGTTTCGCCTCTACGAGGCACCATTAGCAGATGTTGCAAGTTATTCCGCCGAGCACTCACTCGGCCGAAGAATAAAACATAAAGTTCAACATAAGCACAGCTATTTTGCACGAACTAACCTTAACTGGGTACGCGAAGTATAGCAAGATAACTTATTTCCATTTTTATGATATACAAAAATTGTGAGTGCTAGGGTGCGTTCCCACTATGTCGTGACGACGCAATATAGTCGTGCAGTGTGCAAAGTGTCGTGGCATGTATATTTAAATGAAGTTGTTCACATATAATTTAACACGATTAACTTTCGTTCACCAGTTTTTTGACGTTACGACGACAGACTGTCGTGACAATGGGAAAGCTAGAACGACGTCGTCAGACGATAAATAAAATGTCACGATAAAAAGGTGACGACAGCTAATCGCAGCTTCAAGCAAAGTGGGAACAGCTAGACACGACAGTCGTTCAACGATAAAATAAACGTCCACGACACAGTCACGGCAGATAGTCGTGATATGGGAACAGGCTAGACGCGACAGTTGTCTAACGATAAATAAAATTTTGCGACATGGTGGGAACGCGCCCTAGAGAACCGTGTGAAATATACATTCTGAAGCATCACAAAGACCAATCATTGCATGTTTTTTTTATTATTTTGTATTATCATCATTTTTTGTTTAATCATGGCACCTAGACCAATAAGTTGGAAGTGGTGCGCTCTACCATCTCCGCGAAGGCAGAGGAGATCTCGAAGGACATCGAGACAAAACTCACCACCGCCGAGCTCAACCGGGAAAAGGAAATGCAGAAGAAACTCGACATAATTAAAAAACAGGTCACTTGTCTTTTCAATCTTTCAAGGTCACAAAGCAAGAATTTGCGTGAATACTATTAAATTAATATATGAATATAAAAATTAGGATGGTGTTGTGGTTTAAAAACTTTGACTATTGTAGATGTAATTGAGTACAATATCCAAGCATTTATACGTCTCACTGCACGGGCACGGGTCTCCGCCACTCTGGCTCAATTCTTTCTTCGTTTTCCGAGAGTTTACATTCTTTAACGTGCAGATTTTATCACGAAGTTGTTTTCCTTAATCGAATAGCTCAGGGTAAATTTCAAATTAAATTTAGCACACAACTTCCGAAAAACTCACGAGGTGTAAGCCCGGATTCGAACCCCCGGCCGAGAGGCGGAAGATTAAATCATTAATTAGACTACCACGGTTACGAAATTTTATTAAAACTGGCAACCTTACAAATGTAATTTTTCTCCGTCTTCAAAAAATACCGACTGTACTGTATTGCTAGAGGTAAAGTTACGATAAATGTTTTTATTTATTCTATTTAATTTTCTATCACATAACCTTATTTTTGTTTACTGAATGTACTATTGACGTGAGAGGAAGCCAGGAGAGCCATAACACAGGATTTACCTAATTTGGGCTCCTGCCTCCCAGACCCTATGATCTATCATTTACTTGTATTTTGTACTTGTTGGGGGATAATAAAGGATATAATAATGTATAGTATTTAAAATAGATCATGCTTATTAAGCTTCATTATATATTTTTTTATTATTTTATGTCCCACTGGTGCATTTAACATAAAATTTAAAAATATGATTATGTGAGACGTAAGAACTGTTAGAGATCAACTTCCCCCCAACATTACGGCAGGTGTGCATTCTTCTGCTTGTTCATAAGTAAATTTGGCCATTTTGTATCGCTTCGTTGTGAAGCGCTGTCATTTATATACTTACTTGATGTCTTGTACTAGAATTAATCACACCTCTTGATTGTCTGCAGGAGCGGCGCGCAGAGATAGTGCGGCAGAACAAAAACGCGCGCGCCGACAGCGAAGCGCCCACGCAGGGCTAGGCCACGCCCCGCGCACGCGCAGCACACGCTACCACAGCCGCCTAGCAGCCAACAACCTGAGCTCACAGGGGGCAGCGAAGGTCTTGTGCACACTGCGCAACACTTTAACATCAAAGACTTTTGCTGCCCTCTGTATCTCGCACAGCCATAGGTGCCTGTTCAAGGAGATGTGCTTTTTATCATGGCCAAATTCTTGTATAACGTTATTGGTCTCTTAGTTTTGAGAGCGAAAAGGTATACTGTTAAAAGCCGACCATATCAATATCATCAACTGTACGAAGAAAAATTTTGAAATTGCTTGCCAGTTTTAACAACTGTAACGGCTCTGTTCACTTAGCACACACAAAACCAGCGAAAGTATGCCCACCCGGCATACTTTCTTTTGTCTATAGACTATGACGGGTAAATTAAACATGTCTCTTGTCCTTGTGTTCATGCTAAGTTTCTCGAATGAATGAATGAAATTTGTTTTCCTCGTCAATTTATAATCTTACAGAAATTCGAGACTAATTTAAGATACAAGAACTTTTATCTCTTTGAATGTGGAAATGTTTGAACAAAACATAGCGTGTGTTATGCAGCGCCTCAATTAAGGCCAATAGTGCGTTCATACTGTAACTCGGCATTGTCAAGGACAGAGCTACAAGACAAACAACTTAATTTTTACGCTCAATACAAGTCTTGTCCTCCTCAATGCCCGTGTGACCTCGAACGCGACATTTCAGATCATGCTTACGACATGTTTTCTTCGGTTATTTACCACAATGCTAACATCAAACAAGGCCTATCGACAATTGTCTAGACGTGATCTCACTCGGGCCAACTTTTGGTATTTCCAGTACGTATTTAAGTTTTTTTATTTTTATTTATTTGGATTACTAAAAGTTGGCAGACGGTTCCGTGCAGCCGACAAGATTAACTCACATTAACTTTATAAGTATCTTAAATAAAGAACGATCTTTGATAATCGGTTGTTATCAAAATTGAGCGTTTTTTCGCACGGAACCAGGAGTTTTAACATTTAATTTTTATGTGTTTTATGGACGCGAGGGAGTAACCTAAAATTAGTTATAGACTTATATCATTATTTTTAACATTTAAACGCAACAGTATTTTAGGAAAGTATTCGTGTATGTTGCCGTGGGTAAACGCCCTCGAGTGGCGGTGTAGGTGTAAGGTGGCCGCGGCCGCCGCTGAGTGTGCGCTGCTGGCTGTATGGTTGCTTGTGCTCAGACACCGGACTAGTAACATTGCAAAGAATGGACAGGTTGACGGCGACGGGTGGCATTTGATCTGAGCCAAACTGGTACAAACCTGGAACGTTCTCACCGTCAGTCAATAGCTACATTTTGAAATTGAACTATGTTTTGTTATCTCAAATTGAATAACAGTCCAGACTATAGTTAACAGCGAAAGTGCCTCGTATTTCGTATTTGGCTCCAATATCAATAAAATGTACCATATGGGACTGCCTTTCATAGCATTTTATATTTTTTTATGGTAGAAAGAGCGCTGGCCGGACGGTGTGTTGGACACAACGCTTCTGTGATGTTCTGCTCTTGGGTAGCTAGTGATATTAATGAAGCACGCGGGTTCTGCCCTAGCCTCGAGCGTATGGATCCCTGTGGTTTTGATAGTATATTTTTGGCATTAATTATGTTTCGGTCTGTTTTAACGTCAAGTTACGATAATGGTGTATATAATAAATTGTAACTGCTTGACGCGAGGCCGCTTAGGCGGGGCGAGCAGCTTGCTGCTTCTCTGTCTAATAACTACGCTACGAGTAAGGGAACTAGGTGTAAGGTACTAGCTTGTTTCTCAGTGAAGACAGAAAACTTCTGACCAATTTGCCTTTGGTATTGTGTAGCCTTTTAGACTCACGATCGAGACAAATCATGTAAAGCGATGCAATTAACGCTTTGAGATTATTATTGTTTCCATAATGTTAATCACTCTCCTATCTTATAATGTTTATCTATATGTTAATTTTGTATTTTATGTTACTGAATAACGTGCTTGAGTTGTGAGGTATATGAAAATTGCTATTTTTAAAGTGCAGGCAACTTTTGTAGTTTCATTGTCGTATTAATAAAGTCATAAATAAACACTAACAAAATATTGGATAAAATTTGTTTTATTGTTACCTTAGTACCACTTTACAGCAGCATCTCCTAAGAGAAAAGAGGACCCTTCCATTAGATTGAAGACAAATGAGATTTCATATGAACATAGTAGCAGTAGAGCTTCTTAGTAGCAGTAGAGCTCTTTGTTAAAAAAGTTCGTCCAGGGAAGTACTGTCACCTTACCTATTTCTACTGCCAAGCAGTAATAAATAAATTTGAAAAAAATGGATTATTTTTCATGCTTCTTGATATTTTTAAAATAACTTCTAGGCAGGAATTTAATATAATAATTAATAGATTCAGGCGTTACTTTGCGGAAGTCCATGTTAATAAAAATGGAAGTAAATTATATTGCTACTCTGCGAACCCAGTGAAGGTTAAATCGTGCAAAATAGCTGCGCAAAGAGAATTTAAGCACTACGTTTATAGCTGCGCTTGTGTTGAATAATAAGCGCAACTACAATGTACCCGACACGTGTTTCGCCTCTCCACGAGGCATCCTCAGGGGCTGTTGACTGCTCGACTCTCGGCCGAAGAGTCGACTATTCAAGCGCAGCTATTTAGCACGATTTAACCTTCACCGGGTTCGCGGAGTAGCAAATTAATTTACTTCCATTTTTATTTAATATAATACTTAGCTCATTAGCTTAGCAGCTTGATATAGATAACAAAAAAAGAAAGATTGAGAGAGAGAGAGAGTACAGTCGCATCCAAAGGTGTTAAAACATATAAATCGTAATATGTATAAAATCTTTTGAAAAAACCGTATAGTATGTACAGTCAAGAGCACAACAAGCTTGACACTTTGGACTGTTTTCATCATAAGCGGCATAGAGTTAGATTTAAGTTTTAAGTGTCAAGCTTTACGCGCTCTTGACCTTGTACCATGGGCTTTTTTGTAAGCCATGATCTTCTTGATATCCCCGTCCCGGCTTGACGTCGACTTAATAGACACCCTGTATTTATAGTGGAAGTAAAAACAAAAATAATGGGTACAATAATGTTGAACCAGTGGTCATACAAATGATTCCAACCGACTTTTTTAAATAATCATGTATCGTACCAATGAATTAAAATCAATCTTCCCATACAAAATGCCTGATTGTCGTTTTGTTCCTTTTGTTCTATGAGGCAAGCTCCCCGTCGCGAAATTGCCATAGTAAAATAAAGTCGAAGCTTACTGTCTTTCACTTCAAGAAAAAAAAACGACCATTTGGCATCGATTAAAATAAAAAGAATTTTTATTAAGCTTAAAATATCAAATGAGCCATTTCAGCGGTTTATTTCAAATCGAATTTATGAGAGAGCTATAAATTACCGAACGGACCTAAAAACCTAGTAATGCACCTATGGTCGTATTCCAAAACTCTACTCAATGCGCATGTCAGGACTTGAGTATGATTTCTAGTGCTTGAAATCGTACTCAAGTCCTAACTTGAGCATTGAGTAGAGTTCTGGAATACGACCCATAGATGCAAGCGAGTAATGAGTTGTTTCGTCTCGAGACAAGTAGTGTTATTAGATAAGATTCTTTATTTCATTAAGTAATTAATTCAGCAATACAGCTTGGCGTCCTATTTTATTAGTTCTATTACCTTAGTAGCCATTTCTTACATGATTTTTTATAGTAATGGTATGCCGAAGCTTGTAAAAAATTGAAATTAAAAAAACAAACGTCAAATAAAAATTACAATGGCCGATTTTATGTGGCGTTGCTGCTGAATTTTGGTTTTTAATGCAAAACACAACTTGATATTGTGTGAGCGGGTACTAAGAACAATACATTGTAAGTAATAGTTCATTGGTTTCATTAAGATGGCAGACAGTAAGGAAGGAAAACGTAAAAAGGACAAGAATAGTGATGATGATGAAAATCGTAAAGAAACGAGGGAAAAGAAGTCGAAGCGGGCCCGGTCGAGATCTAGATCGCCTGTTCGTGAAGAGTCCAGGCGTAAACGACGGCGTTCCAGATCAGTTTCCAAAGACAGACACGCTAAAAAAGAGAAACAACAAGATGGTAACTCTAAATCGCTTGAGGTGAAAAAAGAAGGTCCAGAAAGGAAAAATAGGGACATAGATATGGTTAATACTAGAACGGGAGGTGCTTACATCCCGCCCGCGCGACTACGCATGATGCAGGCTCAAATTACGGACAAATCATCAATGGCTTTTCAAAGACTTGCTTGGGAAGCCCTGAAAAAGTCCATTCATGGTCATATTAACAAGATAAACGTGGGCAACATCGGGATAATTATCAAAGAGCTTTTAAAGGAGAACATAGTGCGTGGTAGAGGTTTGTTGTGCCGTTCTGTGATTCAAGCACAGGCTGCATCCCCAACATTTACTAATGTTTATGCTGCCCTGGTAGCTGCAGTGAACTCACGATTCCCTAATATTGGAGAATTATTACTGAAAAGGCTGGTGATTCAATTCAAGAGAGGATTCAAACGCAATGATAAGTCCATTTGTATTTCGTCTGCGTCATTCATAGCTCATCTTGTTAATCAGAGAGTAGCACATGAAATTCTAGCTTTAGAGTTGTTGACATTGCTAGTAGAGACACCGACGGATGATTCTGTTGAGGTCGCAATTGCATTCTTGAAAGAATGCGGTCAGAAGTTGACTGAAGTCTCCTCTAAAGGAGTTAATGCAATATTTGGCATGTTGCGAAACATTCTTCATGAGGGGCAGTTGGATAAAAGAGTCCAGTACATGATAGAAGTAATGTTTCAAGTGTGGAAGGATGGATTCAAGGATCATCCGGCTCTGCTTGAGGAATTGGAACTCGTTCCTGAGGAAGAGCAGTTCACACATTTATTGATGCTTGATGATGCTACTGACCCTCAAGATATCCTGAGTAAGTAATTTTTAATTTTTTGCAAACCTGACTGCTGGTGTCTTATAATTATTCAATAAATAGAAAGTTTTTCTCATGGCAGTACATGCTATTTCGTCTGCTTAAAGGTAAAACCACATAAGTGAAATTCCACAAATCCACAAAAAATCTCCAAATTATGTACCTGTTGTAAGAAAATCACCATCTTTCTGCAGATAAGACCACTTATTGAGTTTATAGCTTTTTTGGTATTGAATTTCACCTGCAGAAAGACAGTGATTTTCTTACCATAGATATATATGTATAAAGACTTTTTGTAGAAATGTCACTTATGTGGTTTTACCTTTAAACAGACAATTTATTTGTTACTGAGATACAAGGTTATTGTGTTGCTGTATGTATTTTTTGTATTTATGTGTGTCATATGGTGGCATAATGGTAATTAACACTTTTGCTTAAACTTCCAGATGTTTTCAAGTTTGATGAAAAGTATGAAGAAAATGAGCAAAAGTACAAAACATTAAGCAAAGAGATCTTGGGCTCTGATGCAGAGTCTGATGACGATGAAGAGGGCTCTGGGCAAAGTGGCAGTGACGAATCGGAAGAGGAAGAAGAAGGTGAAGAACAAAAACCGATGACCATTATTGATAATACAGAGACAAATTTAGTAGCACTCCGACGTACTATTTATTTAACAATAAACTCAAGTTTGGACTTTGAAGAATGCGCCCACAAACTTATGAAGATGCAATTAAAACCAGGACAGGAAGTAGAACTCTGCCACATGTTTTTAGATTGCTGTGCTGAACAAAGAACCTATGAAAAATTTTATGGATTGTTGGCACAAAGATTTTGTAATATCAACAGGATATACATAGAGCCCTTTGAAGAGATTTTTAAGGATTCCTATGCAACAGCACATAGACTTGACACAAACAGATTGAGAAATGTTAGTAAATTTTTTGCACACTTGCTATTTACGGATTCTATCGGCTGGGAAGTCTTAGAATGTGTACGGTTGAACGAGGAAGACACTACTAGCTCCAGTCGTATTTACATCAAGATTTTATTCCAAGAGCTAGCTGAATACATGGGATTAAAGAAACTGAACGACAGATTAAAAGACCCGTGAGTTTTTATCATAATTCCATTATTAAGGAATTTTACTATCTTGGAATATTAATTGTTGTTTTCTTTTTTCAGGACATTGCAGGAGGCGTTCTCGGGTGTGTTCCCGCGTGATAATCCAAAGAATACAAGATTTTCCATTAATTTCTTTACATCTATTGGTTTGGGAGGCCTAACTGATGAACTGCGAGAACATTTAAAGCAAATGCCAAAGGTGTGTTAGGATAGAGATAGAGTGGTAGGATAGTGGTGCTACGAGAAATTTGGTTCTCACTTCAGCCAAATGAATAATTAATGTTCGAAACTGGTAGTTAAAATACATTTTTCTCTTCCAGACTGTGCCACCGCCCATTACAGAGATCAACATCGAAAGTGAATCTGAAAGTTCCAGCTCTAGTTCAAGCTCCAGCAGTTCATCAGACTCTTCATCTAGTGACAGTGATTCCAGTAATGGTGAGTTGGATATAATTTTATAGATGATGACTGCTAATATTTATATTCATCTCCCAATGTTATCTTTGATGTAACATATATAAGCGAATTTTTGTAACGAAATCGTACCTAGCATAATGAACTTTATGTCAAGTCTGTAACAAAACCATATTACAAAAACTTGCTTCTATTCCGTTCCAATCTATTCTGCGGCAATGTAAATTAAGCCTAAATCATGGTCGCTCTGTACCTGATCTTCAATGTCTTTATTTGTATGACAGAAGGCATTCTAAAAGGTTTACTTGGTTTCAGAATTAGATTCAGATGGAGAAAACAGCAAAAAGAAACGTGAAAAGAGTCAGTCAAAAAGTAAAAACAAGGACCAAACTCCTGAAAATGAATCTAATAAAGATGTCGAAAGATGGGGTCACGATGGTTTCTATGATACATATGGAAAAGACGCCAGAAGGCATGAAAGACCAGAATGGCAGGAGAGGGATAAGGATGGATTTGCTAGACCAAGAGATGTAAGGCGAGACCAGAGGAGTGATCAAAGAAATGCAGATTTCCGAAGAGAAGAAAGAAGAAACGACAGGCGTGAAGATGAGCGCAGAAGTCGCGACGAAGAAAGACGTCGGGACAATAGAAATGGCGCCAAAGATGATTCTAGAAGACGTCGCGAAGATGATAGAGAAGATTCTAGGCGACGTGATGATGACAGGGATGATTCCAGTAAGAAACGCAGTGATGGTAGAGAAGATTCTAGGAGACATGATGACAGGGAAGATTCTAATAAGAGATGCAGTGATAACAGAGAAGATTCTAGAAATAGACGTGACGATGGTCGAGATGACTCTAGAAGACGTGATGATGATAGGGAAGATTCTAGAAATAGACGTGACGATGACAAAGATGATTCTAGAGGGAGACGTGACCATAGAGATCGACGGCGGGATGAGGATAGACGCCGTGACAGGAGTGATGAAGATTTAAGTTTAAGACATGAGAATCACAAGTCTAGAAGAGATGAAGATATATCAAGACGTGACGAAGAAAGGTTGCGGACAGATGAGGACGACTCTAGATCTAAAAAAGACAGATCCGAAAAGGAACAGGAGAAACCAAGACGAGATGATGAAAAATCTAGAAAAAATGATAGTAGATCGAAAAAAGATAATAAACCAACGGGAAGTGAAGATAAAGACAAACGCAATAGTAAAAACGATGACGAAGATTACCAAAAGAAACGAAGTAAAGGCAAGGCGAAGAAAGACGAAAGTTCAAGTTCAGATAGTGACTCTAGTGATGATGATATTCGACGAGATGAGAAAGAAAATAGACATCAAAAAAAGAAAAATAAAGATAAAAGGAGTAAAAAAAATGACAGTGATTCAAGTGAGGACGAGTCTAGAAGCAGGAAACGTAAGGATAAAAAGAAAAATAACGATGATGGTTGGGATATCAGGAGAGGCAGTAGCCTTAAACGAGAGATGGCTGCTGTCTCCAGTCGGTATTGGGATAGCTCGAGAGTATAACAAATTGTAATATGTAAAGTTTGTAAATATGTGTCCTCATTCCAGTCGTAAGTGGAATTGTTTTCTTTATGAAATAAATTAATTTCAATAGCAACATATTTTTTTGTTGTATAGGGATGGGTGCAGACGTTTTTTTTTATCATTAATGGCTTTGCCTTATCACTCTCAGAGGTGTTTAGATAACAAAAATTTAACGCGCGTTTTCAAATCGTGCGTTATTCGTGTAAAAATTTAGTGATGCCTTGATTACCATTTATAACCTCTGTCGTCAAAGCTCACCACTGTCATAAAACAACATTATAATGATTACTTGTTTCTAATTTTAAAAGATTTTTAAGATTTACCCAGTTAGCATATCGTTTGAAAGTTCACTACATATTATTGCAAGTTACGCTTTGATTTTATTAAAATTATATATATATATTATTTATTAAAATTTCATTCAATGTGCTGTCATCTAGCGTCAATAGCTGAAAGACGACGAATGAATAATGCCTATTTAAACAAGGAGCGACATAGTAGATAGACCACCAAATATTAATTAATCACTTTTTCGAATTACGAATTTCCGGAAATGGTTTTACTGCATCGTAGGACAAAACTACTGACCTAGGAAGTCGAAGTTGGATTTTAAAATAATTCATCATGTAAAAAATGCTGTAGATAAGTGACCTTTTACCAAAGCACAGAGTAAAAAAGTAACGAGAATGGTCGCTCTCCACCCCTCCCTAGCCTTAGATACCGCATGTTGACGGAACGGCGACATTTGCTAGTAGAACTTAGAAGAAAAATGAATTAAAAATTTTATTTACGTAGGAATTTTAACATTTTAGTTTGCATGAGACTCGTGATAGCACCAGAGAACAAAAAGTAACATAGCACTCTAAAAATATTTTATTTAAATTAAAAAACACAGTATAACAGATGTTCATAAATTCGAACCACTACGAAAAACGAAACACAATCACAAAGGCAAATGTTCACACTTTGGTAGGTCAATGTTCACACTAGATTATTTTAATACTTTTTGAGTTAGGAATGAAACTATTTTTCCGGATTTAAATCGCGTATATTTGTTTTTTCAAACAAACCGACGTTTCGGGCCCTTTACAGGTCCCATGGTCACGGTTGACAGTCAACCGTGACCATGGGATTTAAATCCGGAAAAATAGTTTCATTCCTATGTATAACAATCGCGAAAACCTAAGAACTCGATACTTTTTGAGTTCTTAGGTTTTCGCGATTGTTACACATAGGAAAGGTCCCATGGTCAACCATAGTCAACCGTGACCATGGGACTGTAAAGAGCCCGAAACGTCGGTTTGTTTGAAAAAACAAATATACGCGATTTAAATCCGGAAAAATAGTTTCATTTCCTATTAATACTTTTTATTAAAAAAAACTGCGGGACGCTTAAACAAGACGAAAAAGTGATATTTACCCATGTACGGCTATTTATCTTCTTAGATGATTAAAGAGACGAGCTTCTTTCGTCCGGATATCCGTAAATCCGAATAGTAATTAGTTAATAATGGTGGTTTTAACAATTTTATGTAGCTCCTTGTAGCTATATCTATATATGTGTCTATTTTGTGGACACCTTTTCCCGACCATTGGTTATATAACATAAAATATATTACGACAAGAAATTTAATGGATTTTTTAAATTAAATAGAATAAGACATAACAATGATATGAAAGACCACAATGGATAATATTATATTTTTATATCTATATTATATCATTTTGCACTTTTTACCACGATTTTCGACACGACCATAACATTCAAACGAAAATGGCGGCATTTCGCATACTGTTGGTACACGTGTCACATATTATCTTTCTAATTTGTGGTCACGTTCACTAATCGCTTATATTGTATTTATTGTTCTGTGGTCTAGCTAAATATACATTCGTCTGTAAGTGCGTGCGCGGTACCACTGCGCTCAAAATCAAAGGAATAATACTTAAAAACGCGCGACAGGTGTGCGTCCATCTGAACCTAGCCTTATCTTGGCTGTGTTATTTGACAGACGAGACTTACCGTTTCATATATTGTCCGCATGACTCTTCAGAATATGAGTGAAAACTAAAAAGGGAAAAAATGTCAAGAAACTAACTTATTTCGATTTATTTAATTTACGTGGCACTAAAGATTTATTATCTGCAATTAGAGGTGATATTAGAAGAAAAAAATTAATTGAGGGGAATTGAGCTATCGCCATAAAGAAAATGTATTCAATAGAATCAATAACGGATGTTGCTACAGCTCCCCACGAAGAAGAGGACAGCTTCGAATGGCCTGTCCCCGAAAAAGTAGTATCGATGCCTGTAGAAGCTTTACAATCGAAGGAGAAGTTAAAAGAACAAAAATCGGCACCTTCTTATTTACATTCCTTGGCTGACAATGATGCCCCGTCTTTTCGAAAACCGGGAAAAGAACCCCGACCAGCTATACTGACAGGGAGTATTGTGACTGAAGAGGATGTTGTTAATATGATTGCTGCTCACGAGTCGGACCCTGAGAATGGATTGAAAAAATATTTGAGTTCGTTGTTGAAAGCTTATTTGGGTTTTAATTGTTCTGTTGAATTTGTCCTTATCTACCGAGATAAGGTTCTCCGGAGAGACTATGGGCTCGACGGCATGACCAGGGTACGGCGGGCGCCCGGGCCAAGCCCTCCGCCAGTGATACGTCTTCACGGGCGTCTCTGGCGGACCCGGACTTGGGTATGGACTCGCCGGGGTTTGTGGTTAGCTGCAGGGACGAACACGTTCGTCTGCCCCGGTAGATAGTGGCCGGGGCTTTCGTCCCGCGCGCAGCCTGGGCGTCTTAGTAGCGGTCTAGTTGAGGGCCTGAGGCGAGGAGACGCGCGGGGCACGTGAGTTGCCCTTTAAGTCGGTGGCTATGTCCAGACATTGTCGTAGGACACTGCCACTTGGCATCTACGGCACTAGCCCGGAGAGCTAGTAGAGGATAGACATCTTCCGGTCCCTCCGGCCGCATAGGTATTTGGAAACTGGAGAGACGCCGTTCATTCGGCGTCGGGAAGTGAGCGTGCCTTACAGCTCCGCCACCAATGAGGAAATTTGGTAGTCGGCTTAGAGCCGGCGGCTCAGCGGTGGCAACCGTTAGCCGTGCGGAGCGCGACGGGAAGTGAGCGTGCCTACAGCTCCGGTACCTATCTGGAAAATAGGGAGGGTGCTGTACGTGCACCCGGGGCAACTCACCTAAGACACTAGCTTTACAGAGAACCGAATGAAGTGCGTGAAAACGTGCTGATCCGGGGTTATAACTTGACTTAGATGGTCCCTGTGCAAGCTCGCTTGCACAGGTCATAGTGCCCTTCTCGCAGAACCAAGAGGTTGATAGGGAGTCTCATATCTTTCTATGAAACTTCTGTAGAAAGATATGAGACTGTTCTGTTGGATTTATGATTGGAAATGACTTAAGAATTGATTGAGTCTAGTTTATGCAGTCATTAAATAAAGCTCTCTTGGTATTTGCGTCACTGCAGCTGTTAAATTGCTTTACAGTCCAGTTAGTGGTTCAAAAGAAGATAGTAGAGAACTACAATTTAACTGAACGAAATTTCCTCGTGATCCTACTGGCGGAGACAGTCGATTACGCTGCGCAACGCGATTTTGATTCACACAAGCTCGCGGCTCTGATGACCATCTATTTGTCTACGCATCTCTATTTCAAGTGGTATTACTGGTCTCCGCCTGGTGCCATTTGGGCATACTTCAAGGAAGTCATGATTCGGCATGCTATTCACGTTAGTAGAAGCGATTTATTATTGTCGGATAATTTTGGGAATTCGTTTTAGATTCCCGTCGCTCCTATGGCCTAAAAGATTATTATATTAACTTCGGAAGTGTCTGTACTAAGGATATATTTATAATTTGCTGGAAAACAAACCCTAGTAGGTACCACAAAATGCTTTAATAAAATCAATGTTACTAGTAAAGATGGGATAAACAAGTTGTAAGCGGCACAGCTACCCACAGCAGTTGCAGTGCTAGTAAGAGCTTTAAATCCCAAAGATCCATTGCGATCGTCGTTGCCCAGAGACATAAAGTTAACAATGTCCTATAATATGAGCTTGTGCGCGAGGATGAAAGGCGACGGCGAGCGTGGTTGAGAAGGCGTTCGCGTTGGGGTTGGGGGACGTACTTTATTCATTTATTTATTGTAAATATATTTACACGGTATGACAGTTAAGAACTTAATGCACCGTGAAAACTAAGCTAATTATAAAAGTAATAACAATAAGATATACAAAAATAAAATAAAAAAGACAAATACATTATAAATACACACTCGATTCTCTAACATCCGTCATTTCATAGAATCTTAAGCATCACACTCCGGTGCTGATGCCAAGAGTTCGTT